AGGAGTGAGAGGGCATGAGACGTTCAGGAGGCGAGGAGGCTGGGGGAGAGCACAGGGTTGTATTAAAAGGTTGTGTCATGGGGAAGGAGGCAAGATGAGAAGGCAAGTTGGGACTTTAGTAAGGAGGACCTTGAAAGCCAGGCTAAGAGATTTGGTCTTGATCCTGAAGGCTTGGGAGCCACAGAAGTGGAAGGTCCCTGGAAATTACACCCTAGAACTATGAAAATGTGGCGAGATTGTTAACCACGTCTATTATACAAGGTTCTCTAAAGCAATGCTTCTCAAACCATCCGTGGAGAAGGACCATTTTAAAAAATATTTCTAAGCTGTCACAGACCAATACTTTTATAAAATACAAGGAAAATGAATTACTTAAAAAATAAAATGAAAAAAATACAAGCCTTTTTTTTTTATTATGACATTCAAGACACAATTGCTCAATCAAATTGCACTACAAGTTTTCAACCCTTAATTTCTGTGTTCACTTTGATAGAGATGCGCTTGTCCAGAGAGTCTCTGTTACAGGCACACGTCTAGGACAAATGAGGGTTCTCCTAGTAAGAGCTAAGTGCTATCAAACAAATCCCATTTTGATGATGAGGAATCTGTTGTTCAGAGAAGGTAAGCAGCCTGCCCAGGATCACACAGCAGGTGAGAGGCGGGGCTAGACTTAAACCCAGGCCTGTCTGCCTCAACCCACCTGGCAGGTGCAGCCCAGTCCCTCGGCAGAGCCCCTTGGCCTGGGCCCGTAGCCTTGTCCCTGCTCTTAACACAAGGTCAGGAGCCCTGCAGATGGGGAAATGGAGCCGACGTAATGGAGGCCAGGGTCCCACGCCAGAGGGTGGCAGAAGCAGCCAGCCTCCAGGTCTCCTGATACTAGTCTGCGCTCCATTTTGCCACTCTGCCTGCCTCTGGGCCAGGCCTCCAGGCCAGACAGGGCCAAGGAGGGCAAAGGGAAGGAGGGGCAGGAAGAGGCAGGGGACTCATCAATTGCTGGCAATTACATGGTGCTTTGTCATTCTTCATTAGCTCAGCAGCTCCATAAGCAAAGAGTTCCCTGTGGAAGCAGGAGACAGCTGCTGGTCCTACCCAGGTGGGCAGTCTGGGTGGGTAGGGACCCCTCAGGAGCACTTTCCCCAGCCCCTTTAGGTGCTGCTTCTCCAGCTGCAGAGGGGTCGCCTGCTTGCTGGGCACATGCTGAGAACCAGAGGACAGAACTTAAGTGGAGTCCCTGGATGTGTACTGGGCACTTCCTCGCTGCCAGGCACTGGTCAGCTGCTCCAGGGAACCCTGGGGTGAAGGATGATTCCCAGCTCCCATGCTTGGGGCATGCTCAGCTGCTGGAGGAGGTAAACAGGTTCACCAAGAACCATAAAACATGAATGTAGCCAGACTTACCATTTACTGAGCACTTGCCACTTGGCAGGCACTAAGTCAAGCATTCCCCCCCCCCCCATATTATCCAACAGAAGCCTTACAAAGCTCTCTAAAGCAGGTATTATGCCCACTGTACAGATGGGGAAACTGAAGCCCAGTTGGCTAAGATTGCATACATATAGACGGAGGATTTGGTTTCAGGGCCCAAATATGTAGAACTCCAAGGTCAAACAGTTGTTGTCGTCGTTTGCCAGGGAAGATAATTGTGTAGGTAGCTGTGACTGGGTATTAGGGAGGAGCCAGCTAGATCTTTGGGGCAAAGGTGGGTAGTCTAGGAAAGCTGAGGAGGCAATCTGGCTGGATGTTTCTGGAAGAGGAAGCAGCATGGGAAGGGTCTGAGGAGGGAAGGGTTCAGAAGCAACTGGTTGGAGCAGTTGGATCAATGGGACACAGAAGGCAGGAGAGGTCTGTGGGTCAGGTAAAAGGTCAAGTCTAAGCAGTAATCCCTGGGCTTCTGACTCACCAGTAACCCAGGTTCCCTCTGATTCCCTGGGAGAATGCTGAGCAGTCGGGTGTGGGGGTGGGAACTCTGGGGGAGGCTGGACTACCCGCAGCTCAGACGGGGCCAGTCTGGTTCCAATCGCAAGAGAGCTCCCTTCCCTGAGGGCCAGTCAAGAATTATGATAATAATAGCCATTCCACCTTTACTGTTCATCCAGTCAGAAAAGTGATTCTAGTTTTATTAAAATATGCAATATATATATATATATAGCACTTATTATAGGCCAGGCATAATTCTAAACATGTTCCAAACGTTAACTCTTTTAATTCTTGCAACCATCCATGACATATAATCCCCATTTTACAGATGAGGAAACTGAGGTCTGTGGAATTTAAGTGACCAACCTAAGGTCATGAAGTAAAGGAGTAGGGGAGACAGGATCTCGGGCTCCAGTAACCACGTGTTTAAGCCCTGTGCTCTGCTGGTGGGGGGCAAGAAAACATACTCTGCTGTAAAAACTCCCATTTTACAGATGGAAAAACTAAGGCCAACCCAGGTAAAGGGACTGGCTCAGGCAAGTAAGGAGGACAGATCGCTTGAGGAAATCAGGGCTCTTGGTCCTAGGCTAGGACCCACTTGGTCCCGCTACAAGCCCAAGTGATAGCTGGAGAGAAGCCGAGAGCCCTCCCAACCTGCTGGCACCCACTATCTCACTGGGGTCTCATGAGGGTCCCGTGGGGGAGAAAACAGTAAAATTACAATTCTGGCACCATTTTCCTAAAGACAAAAGCCAGTTATAACCAGAGGTAGCTTCTCCCTCTCTTTTATTTTTCTTTCTGATTACTAAAGGCTATATGATCATTGCAAAATTTTTTTTACAAAGTTAGATCAGATGAGAGAAAAAAAGAGAGAGAGAGAAAAGAAAAAAAAAATCACCTTAAAACTCTTCCTTGAATACTGGTGCATTTTCAAGATTTCTCTGCTCTCTCTCTGTTTTTATAAGCATCCAAGATGGGAAGCAAGAGATTTGGCTCCCTGTCCTGGCTCGCTGTGTGACCTTGGGCAAGTCCCTGCCCTTCCCTGGGCCTCAGGCTCCTCACCTGTGAAAGGAGGCTTTGCACATGGTGACCTCAGAGGAGGCCCCTTGCAGCTCTGACCTTCTGTTTCTGCTTCTGTTCCTGGATTGGCAGAAGGGGCACAGGCAGGCTGCCCCTCTGTGGGGGACGCATGGCTGACAGCTCCCAGCAAGTTACCTCCGGGACGATGTGATGGGCCTGGAAACAGCCTTCACTGCAGGCTCAGCGTTCCCAGGCCTGCCTGCTCACTAGGCCCATATGGTGCCCCCTGCCAGCCGGACACCACCAGCTGCCCTTCACCTGCCAGCCTTGGGTGATTGCTTTTCCTTCGGGCTCCAGAATGCTCTCTCTCTACTGCCCCAGGACCCAGAAGGCTCAGGGTAAGAGAGCTGGGGGGCTCAGCCCTGAGGACCTACCTACGCATCACCATAGCCCTTTGTGGGAGAAGACAGCCTCATATGGTAAAAAGCTAGAGAGAGGGAGGGCGGGAGGAAAGGAACATTGACTATATTCCAACTCCATTTGGACCCCTTGCTAGGTGTTCAGAAATGAATCAGAAAAACTTATTGCCCTTGAAGGACCCAAAGTCTAGTGGAGGCAATCAGAGTAGAAATAGGCAGCAGCAACACTCACAATGCTGAGAGCTCAGGTCTGTGAGATCCCAAAGGCAGAAGCCTAACATACGGGTGGCAGTCAGGGAAGGCTTTCTGGAGAAGGCAACTTCATAGACGAGTTCTCAAGGACTGCTCTCTGCCTTTCCAACTCAAGAACTCATGTTTTTAATTCTGATAGACAGCCTGGTGGAATAGGTGTTGTTGCTTTTACAGATGAGGCTCAGAAAGGTGAGTTCACAACCACCAAAAAAAGGAGTCAGGTTCAAATTCCCAGCATTCCACTCTGGCCTACAAGCCTGGGTTTGAGTGTGATCCCAATCTCTGGCTTGCAGAGACCCTTCTTGAGTACTTCTCCCCCAGACCTTGGAATCTTATCTGTAAAGTGGGTGTATTGCTGGCTGCAGGGTTTTGGAGGAGCAAAGGACAGATGGCCGAAAAAGCACTTAGTTTATAAACCGAGAAAGGAATGTCAGTGGGGCCTCACTACCCAGCTGGGAACAGCACAACCCCATCTTTCTCCCAACACAAGAACAGGACTCCTGTCTTCTGAGCTAGCAGCAATCCTAGAGGCTGAAGTTCACCTTGCCGAAGCTCCCCATCTAGAAGAAGCCAGACTGTGGCACGGCGGCATGTGCTCTTTTGACTGCAAAGCCTAACGGGAGGGTCTAGGATCCTAGAGAGAATTCTAAATCCTGGACTTAAGAGTATCTGTGCTGGAGGAATTCTAGAATCCAGACCCCCCTCAAAATGCCTCCTACAAAGCTTGGGAGGCTCTGGGTCAAGGTCGTGCAGCACCTGGCCTCGGCAGATTGAAAGGATCACTAGAAATAGGATCCCATCTCCTTTGACAGATAAAGATTAAGACCTAGTGGGGGGCAGGAATTGCCTAAGGTAACAGAGCAAGTCAGTGTTAGAGCATAACACCCAGGCCATATCACTACATGGGGAGTGGGGTGGGGTGGGGCAGCCCAGGTGCCCAGGTGGTGCCAGAGAGCAGCCTGGGTGCTGTTGGGTGAGTAAAATGCCCAGCTGGTCTTACTAAGGAAAACTTTTATAGTCCTGCCCGGTTCCCAGCAAAGTTCTACTACTCGCACCTCTCCTTCTAAGCCTCCCATTGCCCTGGGCAGCACCCTTCTCTCCGACCCTAAGTCTGACCATCTGTAAAATGGCCCCCAAGTACCTTACAGCTGGGCTGTCTAGAAATCCTAGGAATAAGGGGATTGGGAGAGGGAGGAAAAGAAGGGGCTTCTGGGGCTTTCGGCTCTCTACCTTAGGGGCGCCCTTTGTGGGGACCCCCTGGGGAGCAAGAGCAGGAGCCCGGGCTGGGCGGGGCGGGGCGAGGCAGGGCGGTCGGGGGCGGGGCCGGGGGCGGGGCCGGGGGCGGGGCCTGGCCGGCCATCATCCCGCCCCGTCGGACGTCGGCGCGGAGCTCGCGCCGCGGGGGGAGGAGCGCGGAGTCCGCGCGTCGCGCGGCCCCGGCGGAAAGTTTTTCCTGACGGAGTTTTGGCGGCGGCAGCCGGGGCGGCCATGGACGCGCTCAAGTCCGCCGGGCGGGCGCTGATCCGGAGCCCCAGCCTCGCTAAGCAGAGCTGGGGGGGCGGCGGCCGGCATCGGAGTGAGTGTGGGCGCGTCCGCCGGGCCGGGCGGGGGCCGGGCGGGGGTCGGGCGGAGCGGACCGGCCTCCCGCGGGCGCCGGGGGCAGAGGCGCGGTCTGCCCGGTGCCCTGCGGCCCTGCCCGGTCCTGCGGGGTTGGGGGTCGCCCGCGGTCAAGTCGGGCTCCCACTCGCGTCCCGGCTCTGTGCGGCTGGGGAGGAGGGGCAGAGCTGGGGGAGAGAGCGGAGCTCGGGGACCCCAGGTGCAGGCGGCAGTCGGAGGGGCCGCAGGTGAGGGGAAGAGACCTGCGCGAACCCCGGCACCTGGCCACCTCGCCGCGCTGGGCAGCTTGGGGGAGCCCGGAGCTCAGCGGAGGGGAGACAGTGCCCGGGGGAGGAGGAGTGGGCACCGGGGTTTGGGGAGATGCCCGCAGCCCTGCGCCCTCGCCGCGAGGTCCGCGGCCGGTGGGAGCCCGCGTGCCCCCCGCCCCACTGCCAACCCTTGAGGTCGTCTTTTACCCCCAGGCGTCCAGGAACCGACTCAGGTGTGAGGGCTTCGCAGGTACCTACTTGAGGTTGGGGGCGAGGCTCAGCCTGGGGTCTCAGAAGGTAGCACACCCCGAGCCTTCCAGACCCCTGCCCCCTGCGTCCCCTCCTCTTCCCACGTCTAGGTGGCGAGGCTGGCGTTCTGGCCAATTTTGAAACCTGTTTTCTCTCGCACTTTCCCCCTCGGGCTTCCGAAGTCCCGGGGCGCCCAGGCGAATGGCAGGCTCGCCGCCACCTCTCCCTTCTCCCGGGGGCGTCTGGGAGGCTGGGAGGGGGGGCCCCCCTCCTCTCCCCGTCTCAGATTACTCTCAGGGAACCCGTCACCTGGCACGTTCCCCTGAGGCCTGAGAAACCCAGCCCAAGTCCCTCTTTTTTCTGCAGGAGAAAGGGAGTGGATTGCCTGGGGTCGCACAGGCCTTCCTGGTAGATGTGGAGCCCGAGCCAAGACTTCGTACACTCCCACCCTCCTATCAAACACCTGGGACCTCCAGGGGAGGACTCCCCAACCCCCTACCTCGCCCCCCTCCCCCTCCAAGAAACCCCTGACAGTACAGTCACACCCCACCCCCCCCTTCCTTCTTTCCAGGGCTCCGCCAGGGGAGCCCGAGTTCCCAGTGCCAGCGTGTCTGGGCCTAGAAAGCCCGCCCTTCCCCTCCCTCTTGCCCCACTCTGCTGTTCCAGCTGTGGCCACCTCCTAAACCAAGACTGGCACTGGGAACATGGGCTGGTGCCTGCTGGTGGGGGTGGGGTCAGAGACCCGTTAGGGCTGGTCTGGGCCAGGCCAGGATGCACTGTCTCCCACACTTAACTGGCCCCTAAATAGCCCCTTTAAATACTTAAGGGATTTGACTGGGACTTCTGAGAATAATGGTTTGTTCCAGTGGTGGAACCCTGCAGTTGTTCTGGGGTGGGGGAGGAAGGGGGTGCTGGGTAAGGGAAGAAAGCTTAGAAGCCTCTTTGATTCTGGGGAACGGGGAGAGGTAGCCACCTTGGATGGTGGAAAAGAGTTTCTTGTGCTGCTCTGATCTTGACAAGTCATTTTCCTTTCTGACCCTCAGTTTCCTCACCAGAAAAATGGGGATAAAAATTCTAACCTGATAGAGGCGTTGAGAAAATTCTTGATAATGCTTCCTACTGGCACCTCATTGGTGGTTTCCTCCTGTCCCACTCCCCCTTTGTGTCATGTGGACCTTCAACATGACTATTCCTGTGGGGGACAAGTTTTGGGGCTCAGAGCCTATCTACACCTGCAGAGAAAAGGAGGGGAGAACCCCGCTCCCCTGCAGACCCCCAGAGTGTTGTCCTGAGCCTTCTGGACCCAGAATGATCTGGGTGGAACCTTCGCCTGTCCCTCGTTATTGTCAGTTTCCTTATCTGTAAATTGCAAATAACAGTAGTGGGGGTGGTGGTGGTGGTGGTGTGTGTGTGTGTGTGTGTGTGTGTGGTGTGAATTAAATGAAATAGTGTTTTGCCTGGAATAGCAAAGGGATTCAATAAATAGTAACTACTGCTTTTGTCACTTTATGTTTTACACAGTTTTTGCTTCTGTTATTTCATTTGCTCCTGTGAGGTGACAGAGCAGGGATTCTTAATAGACCTGTGTCAGAGGTAAAAGACCGGAGGCTCAGGCTCCAGCACGGCTTCCTAGAGGTAGCACTCCGAATCCCCAGCCCAGGGGTCTTATCAGCGTGCCTCCTGGACTCTGGCCACGGGACGAGCTGGGGCAGGCCCCATCCCAGGATGGGCTGACGGCTGACAGCCCCTGAGAACAGTGGTGGCCACAAGGTAGAGAGGGACGCTGTGGGGTGTGTCTGGGGTGGAGGTGCTGGGGTAGCTTGGTCTGAGGTGGTGTTCCGGCCAACTGGAACTGAGCCCTGTGGTTGACTTTTGCGGCCAAAATGAAGCCAGGGGAGTTAAGGTTAGACTTGACACCTGCTATCAGCTGTGACTTGCTCCTCACCAAACCACTCAAGATCCTCAGCTGGGATTAGCATGATAATTGTTTTATTTGTGGAAAAACTGAAACCCAAAGAAGGGAGGCAGCTTGCCTGAGGTCACACAGTAGGCTAGAACCCCACACTTTTTGGCACTGAACCTCACGGCCCCCTGTCTCCCAGCTGGTCCTGAGTTTGAAGAACTATCTCCCTCTCCCACACATGGCCTTTTTCCCATCTCAATAAATATTCCCATAAAATAAATATTTTATCTCAGTCCCTAGCCAGGGCTTTTCCTTTCTTCCAGCTGCCTGAAAGGTGGCTCACCCTGGCCCCTCAGTACCCTTCTTTCCAAGAGGGGGCCCTCTGATCTTTAGGCTCCCTACAGGCTGTCAGAGAACTCAGAGCAGGTAAAGAAATACAAGATACAGGTTCCAGAAAAGCTAGAGTATGGTGGTATGTGGGGGACAGAGAATCTATTTGTACTTACTTATAATATTTACAATAAAAGATACTATAAATAAACCCCCAAGTCATAATACTTACTGATCACAGACTATGTGACATGCCCCGATAGGTACTGGAGAGTCTGGTGAACAAGTCCCTCTGTCTCCCAGCAGTGCTCACGGTCTGGTGGAGGAAGCAGAATGACCAGGGTGCGAATGAATGGTTTGGTGATAAGTAATGGTGACACCATGAAGAAGGATAAAGTGGGCTGAGGAAATGGCGGGGACCGCTTCCTTAGAGTGGTATCTTCCTTTGGGTTCTTCTAGAAAGCAGACGCTGAGAGAAGGATCTGAGTGCGAGTCATCTATTTGGGAAAAGATCCCAGGAAATATCTTCAGAAGTGGGAAGGGAAGAAAGTCCAAAACGTGGACAATATGAAGCCAGTCACCAGCGTGGGTGACTGGAGCGCCATCCCCTGGGGAGTTTTGGGGGGGCAGTGGAGAATGTGCTCTTCAGATATTCTGTTTGAGGGGCAGTTCCTGGCAGCGGTGGGTTCAGGGATGGGAGCCCTGAATACCCCAGTGTGCATGGGCATCGGCCCCTCCGGTAGCCAGAGAGCCGCAGGCGAGAGGTGGCTTGTCAGGTGGCGTGTGTGGAAATGGTGTCCAGTGAGGGGATAAAGGTGCGGCTCTGATAGCGTCAGTGTGGGCAGTCAGGGAAGGCCTCTCCAAGAAGGTGACTTGGAGCACGTGTGAGAATACAGGAGGGAGGAATCTGGGAACAGCCTTCCGGCCAGAGGGAGCAGCAGGTGCAGGGGACATTTAACTGGAGGCTGGGGCCCTGCCTCTCACAGGTCTGGTGGCTGAGGGAGGCATATGTGCCTTGAAGGAGTCAGGTCATCCCCTGCTCACTGAGGGGCACTCTGTTCAGGCAGCCGTGCAGGACAGGATGCCCACGCCTCTGGGTGATCCTGCGCGTGACCCCTGCCTCACATGGGAAGGGGCTTGGTGGGCACCCTTGGTGGGTGAACAGCACGGGCTGTGGGAGGCGAAGACCAGCATTGTCAATTAAGAGTCATGGCCAGACTCCTCTGAGCCTCTTTATCCTGTGAAGTGGGAATCCTAATATATCCTTGCCTCTCCTCACAAAATACTGCAAATGGCTGTGTGCACATTCAAGCTCTTAGCCCTGGGCCCTTGGTAATGACAGTAGCTCACATTTCAGTGGCCTCAGCATGTGCCAGGCGTGGTTCTAAGCCCACCTGGTGTGTGAACTCACTTCATCCTCACAGCAACCCCATGGGGTGGACATGCTTCTTGTCCCAATTTTTAAGTGAGGAAACTGAGGACCAGGGAGGTGGAATGACTGAACCGCACAGCCCATCTCCAGACCCCATGGTTTTAACCTTGACAGCACGTTTTTCTCTTACAAGAGTAAGTAGGTACCCAGGAAATGAGAGCTTATGCTATGATCATTTTTTAATTATTTTCTTTTGATAATCTTAACTTCTGAAATTTGCTGGCACTTTTTACATGCTGAACCTGTTTCTGATGATGCTCTTGAGGAACTGAACCCATTTGTCAGATAAAGCGACTGTGGCCTTAGAGAAGCAGCTACATTCCGGGTCACGGCAGAGCTTGAGTCCCTTTCTGAGACGTTACTCTGTGGCTTCTGAGGCCACCTCCCCACCAGGCTTGAGGAGGCTGGAGGCCAGGGCTCTTGGAGGTTCCCCCTGGCCCATGGGTTTGGCTATCGCTCTGATGTTCCAGACACCAGCCAGGCTGGGTCTCCTGGGCAGCAAGAGGGGCACAGGGGCCCCCTGCCTAGCTCTGAGTCCTGGGCAGGGGGCTTAATGAGGAAAGAGCACACGTTTGCAGCCGTGAGTTAAACTGGGCATATGGTCCGTCCCCAGCTAACTCTGACAGCAGGTCATCTGTAAAATTGCTAAGTTAAAATAGCGCAGTCATTATCCACCACAGGGCCAAAAATAACCAGGACCGGAACAGGGCTGTAGACTCAGGCCTGTATTTGCCTGAGGGCCTCTGGGAGCTCTTCCTGAAGCCCCGGGCTCCTCCTAGGAAGGAGCATGTGGCCTCCAGCCTGAGGTGGCTGGCTGCTGGGTAGGCACCAACTCTGCGTTTGCCTTATTGAGTGCTCTTAGGTGTGGGTTTCTTCAGGGAGGGTGTGGGGCCTGAGAGACCTTCCACCTCATTGAAGAGATGAGTCATGCCCAAAAGGACAGTATAGGAGCAGAGGCAGGGTTCCCTCCCTCGAAGGGAAGGAGGATCTTGATCTTGCTGGGCCTGGGAGGATGGCGTAATGGGAAGGGGGAAAAGGACAAGGCAGAGCTGCAACACTGGGCAGGGGTGCACCTTCTCCATTTCCTGGGGGAGACACACGGGAACAGAAGTCCTTCAAGAGGAAGACACATGGTAGACAGTTGCTGGCTGTGAGTGATGTGGTTGGAGAAGGAAGAGAAGGAAATCCACGCTCAAGAGAGGCATAGGCGACCCGCTCACAGAGGGACGAGGCCCCATCAAGAGGAGTGACCATGGGCGGGGTCCTGTGCTAAATAAGCACATTACGTTTATTATCTCATTATCTAATTTTATTATCTCATCAACGGGTCAAAACAGTAGCCCTGTGAGCTGGGGACTGTTGTTTCCCCCATCTTATGGATGAGAAAACTGAGTCCCAGGGAAGGTAATTAATTTGCTCAAGATCACTCAAATAATGTCAGAACTGGGTTTCTTAGGATTAAGGCTTTTGCTTTTAACTGCTAGGCAGTCCTGCCTTCAAGGCTTCCTGGATGAGGCTGGATGCAAGGGGTTTCAATCAAATAAAGGGAAGGGCATTTCTGATAGAAGGAACTCCTTGAGCAAAAGCATAGAAGTGGGAAAAAAGATGTTGCATCACAAGGAAGAAGCTCTGCATGGTTGGAGCTTCCATTCTGTGTGCATGTGCATGTAGGGATATTGTGGGAGAGGACACTGGGACACCTGTGATTCCCCAGCAGTCATTGTGGGAATTGCCTGTAGTGGATTGGGAGCTGGTGGGGGCGGGGTAGCGGGTTGAAGCTCTGACTTGCTGTGTGATCTTCCACAAGTCCCATCCCTCTCTGGGCCTTGTCATCTGTCATGTGAGGAGTTTGGGCAGAGGGTCTCCAAGGCTGATGAGTGGCAACTGGTCTACCAGGGACCTCATGAAGGAGGCCATGGAGTAGGGTAAGGGTCAGGCCAGGGAAGGAAGAATGCAGAATATGCCAAGCATTTCAGAGGTCAGGGAGGACTGGGGAATGTTTTGACAACAAAAAGGTCATCTGTGACCTTGGCAAGCTTTGGCTCTTTGGAATGGAAAGAGCGGAAGTGGTTTTGGAGATGGGCCAGGAAAGGCTGAGCCGAAGGAAATGGGATAGTGGGGACATGAAAATGGCGGGGAGGAAGGATGTTTGCTATAAGGCAGGTATGGATAGTGAGATGAACGAGGCCACCCCTGATCGATTGGTGTTGCCTGCATGGAGCCTTGTATTGAGAAACAGTCCAAAGCCTGTAAATCAGAGGGAATAGAGCTGCAATTGATTAGCAATGTCTGTCAAGGACACCAGTGATAGGCATGGTAGCATGTAGTTGGCCATCCTTGCTTAGATGCATCTCAGGTTGAAAGCAGTGGTCTGAGTACCTACTGAGGGGAAGCCTCAGGAATTAGGAATTGTGGGAGGAAATACCTCTGGCTCTAGGAACTTCTTCCTGACCTTTTGCTAAAATCAAGGTCGTTTGCCTCATGAGAAGATAGTATGGGCTACTGGTCAGGACCTTGGAGCTTGGGTTTAGAGTCAGATAGACAACTAATGTGACAAATCACGTGTCCTTTGAGCCTCCCTTCCCTCCTCTGAAAGGGGAATGAGAATGCCTGGCTGCCAGGTAGCTGTGAATGTTAGAAGTAATGGTCAGAGCTGCTTTGTTGTTATTGTTGTCTTTCTTGATAGCTCTGTTCTGCGCTGATGATGTGGTGTTCTTGGTTTCTTTGTGAGAAAGGCTCAGGTCTGATGGGGCTTCCATTATCCAACCCAGGACTGGGTCACCTCAGGGACTTTCTGATTCTTTTGGGGGGATCAAATGAAACAGGCTCGTGATTGATACAGCAGAGGATAGCGTCCCTTGTGTGTGGGGGGGTCATCTCAGCAGGGGTTGGGCCTCCTCTTGAGGTGGTGGCCCAAGTGCAAGGGCTGGAGGGCAGTGGGCTGGGGACCGGAGCTGAGGATGGGGTTTGAGACATTGCAGACCTGAAAGAAGCCTTGGAGTTGTCCAGGTCATTTCTTCACTCAGCAGATACTGAGTGCCAACTGCATGCCAGGCTCTGGCTAACCAGCCAACACGTCCCTGCTCACCTGGACATCAGACAGGGGGACTGGGTACACCTGTAAGTTCTTGTAAGACACCTTGCTGTCCAACACACATGCATTTTTTTCAGATGAAGAAGCAGTCTCAGAGAGGGACAGTGGCTTGCTCAAGTCAAAACCAGAGAGGTGTGGGTGTACAAGGCTCCTTCTGGCTGATGGAGAAGGAGGCAGAGCCCCTGGAGAAGCAGAACTCCAAGACAGTTGCTGGGAGGGGCAGCATGGGCCAGACAGGATGGAGGGCCCAGGACTGCCACCTGGGCCCAATAGCGCAGGAACCCCCGAACCAGGCTGCGCCTTGTGGGCGGCGCCCACAGCCCTGCCGGGGCCTCAGCTGCCCTGGCACTAGTGATGCCCAGTCCGAAGCTTTCTTCCTGTGGCTCTTCCATTTGAGCCCCCGAGGGTCCCTGGAGGAGCAGGGAGAGTACAGGATTCGCCCAGCTCCTCTCCCAGAAAGTGGTCCAGGGAAGTGGTCCTGGCCATCTCCGTGCTGGCCCCTGGAAACTGATTCCTCTGTGGATCCTGCCCCATCCGAGATGGTATGTGACGCTGAAGAGCTGTTTCCTCCTCTTTAATGTGGCTACAATCATAATAACCTCCTGCACTGCAGCATCGTCGGAGAAAGGATCATAAGGGACAGGCAAAGGGCCTTGACAGGCAGGAACATGGGGTGCTCATTCGTCTTGGTGATCGGGCTTGGAAGGATCCCTAGAGACCTTCCCTCCGCTTTCTGGCTTCATTGCTTCCAGCTGAGTGATCTGGGGAGGAACCTTGGGATTGTCCAAACCGCTGATGAAGACCTCACTTGCCCTCCTGTCCCTCTGCCTGCTCAGGGCCCTCTCTCCCATGGGTGGGGTGAGGTGGGGGCTTTCCAGCTCTCTCTCCTGCGGTCTGTTTCCCTATCCAGCGAGCTGGGCTCATTTCCCCCATCTCCCAACCTTCCTGATCTCAGTCTTGGGCAGTTTTCAGAGGACCCTTGCTCCGTACCATGGCCTCAGCATTACTAGGCTTAGAGAGGAGAGGGGACTTCCCCAACACATGCAGGTGGTGGGAAGCAGAGCTGGGACTTGAACCCCCTGGATTCCAGCGGCCTTCATAGGATGTCATTTGAGCAGTCACCTCTCCCATTCCCTGCCCCCCGCCTCTCTCCTGGTCCCTCTCCTCCCTGCCTCTTCCTCTCCATGGCTGTGCGGATGGAGGCCAGCAGAGCAGGCTGGGGCCCTGGGAACTGCCCAGGTTTGAGTTCTGACTCCCAACCCTTTACTCACTGTATGTGACCTTTTGATGACTTTGCCTCTCTGAGCCTGTTTCCTAATCTGTAAAGTAAGAATAACATCCACCTCACAGGATCGTGTAGAAGATTCAGTAAGAAAATAGCATGGTTTGCTCTCAGCAGGTATTAGTTTTGAAGTGCAGAGTTTGGGTTTTGAACTTGAAAATATGGGTTCAGATCTTGGCTCTTATACTTGCTGGCTCTGTGGACTTGGTTGTGTGATTTCACCTCCCGGGGCCTCAGTGTCTTTGTAAGTGCGTGCGATAAAAGTGTCTACCTCATAGGTTGTCATGAGGATTAATGAGAATATTTTATGGAAGGCTTCTTACCATGGTGCTTGGTAGGTACTGGAAAATGCTGGTCCTTTATTATAGGTAAAAATAATGGTAGATGAACGACCCCAATGCCCCTTGCTTGGTCTTCCTAGGAAATGGGGGCTGGGAGGACAGGGTCTGAAGGCCTCTCCTTCTGCACAGAGCTGCCGGAGAACTGGACAGACACTCGGGAGACGCTGCTCGAGGGAATGCTCTTTAGCCTCAAGTACCTGGGCATGACGCTGGTGGAGCAGCCCAAGGGTGAGGAGCTGTCGGCTGCCGCTGTCAAGAGGATTGTGGCCACGGTGAGCCCCAGTCAGGGTGGGGGAGCCATGAGCCAAGGGCCAGCTTCTTCTTGGGGTGCCACCCATCCTCTGCTTATTGCCCTGATTGGATGCATCTGAGCTGTTCCCATCCCCTAGCATCCGGCTTAGGGACTCTGGTAGAGGGGAGCCACTGGGCTTGTGGGGTCAGGGTCAATGTCCTCCTCTCCAGCTGTTGTGGCCCACTGGCTTCTCCCAGTCTCCCCTCCCCCAACTCAGGTCCCCTGTCTCAGGGTTGGTGACTTAGTGCCAAGGATTAGTGGGGAGGTTGCTGTCACGCAACCACTTGTCCTCTGGTCTAAGGGACAGGGTGACCCACCAGAGACAAATCTCCCCCCTCCCCAGCTGGCCATCCTGAGTAAGCATGGCCCTATAAATGCACCTCCCTTGGTGGCCTTGGGCCCCTCAGCTCAGACCCTCACAGGTATAGTGGGTGGAGTGGAGAGTCCCCGGGAGTGACCCTGCTGGGTTGTGATAGCCCACTCAGTGCTCAGATGCTGCAGTCCCTCCTAGCTGTGTGTCCTTGGGCAGCTCCCTTAACCTCTGAGTCCCATTTCCTCCTCGGGAGAAGCTCTGTTGCCTCTAAGGACGACTCGAGGTCCAGGGCCTGGCAGATAGCAGGCACTCCGTGGGCAGCGGTTGTCCCTGGGTTTATCACAAGAGTGGGCTGACGGCTGTCTTCCCCAGCGTGTCTGCGTCTCTACGCTGAGGCCTCCCGGGGGCCTCGAGTCTGGGGCTTAGACCAGCTAGGTGTAGCCCATGAGAGTAGGTCCCACGTGGGGCAGGCAGGTTCTCTGACCCACATCTACCCCAAGGCCAAGGCCAGCGGGAAGAAGCTGCAGAAAGTGACCCTCAAGGTGTCGCCACGGGGGATTATCCTGACTGACAACATCACCAACCAGCTCATTGAGAATGTGTCCATTTACAGGTACGCTCAGTGTCGCCCACATTCACTCTCCCGCTTGGGGCAGTGGGTGGGGCGCCCCTTCTGAATCCAGGCTCTACCACTTTCTGTCTGGGTGACCTTGGAGCCTCAGTTTCCTCGTGTGTGGGGGGCGGGGGGGGATGGAAACAGACCCTGCCTCTCAGTGCTGTTAGGAAGTGCTGAGTGCACGGTGCCTGGCTCACAGTGGGCACTTGGTTAAAGGGCAGTTGCTGCTGTCATTATTCCGAGTTGCAGGAGGCAGCTGAGGCCTACTCAGGGCTAGGACCCCCTCCCTGCCCCCTTCCCCAGGCGAGCTGCTGAGTCAGGCTCAGTGCAGAGAGCTGTGAACGCAGCAGCTCAGCTCTGGATGTCTGGCCAGGCATTCAGGGAGGCTTCAGGGCAGAGTCGGAGGCCAGAGCGTAGATGGTATGGGGGGACGGGGGGGGCACTGTTCTCAGGGAGGCAGAACCCAGCCCTTGGAACCTTAAGCTCTCCCCATTCCCTCTCTTGGCTGGTCAGTTGTAGGATTCCAATGCTGGAAGGGACAGTCCATTTTACAGATGGAGAAGCTGAGGCCCGGGGAGTTGCCCAAGGCCCTACAGTGAGGTAGTGGCTGAGCTGGGACCAGGGCACGGAGGCTGGAGCTCTGTCCAGCAGGCACTCAGCTGCCGGGCGCTCCTCCACCCTCTTGCTTTGTCTCCAGGCACGTGGCTCAATCCCCTGGAGCACAAGCCAGTCCTGGGGGCGGGGGGGGGGGGGGGGGGGGGGCGGTTTTAGAGTTTCTGGCTGGTGTCTTCCCCTCACCTTCCTGATTCTGCCTGCCTCCTTTAACTAGGGGAGGCCTCAGACCCAGCCCCTGCTGGCAAGGAGGGCAGAGAAGGAGGGGCCTGTCTGGGGAGACCTGGCAAGGCCTCTCCGGGGAGGTGGCAGGAGGCTGGATCCACTGGGGTGGAGAAGAGGTAGCTGCTGGCCTGGGGGTCCTAAGTGGTGCCGATCCCTGTGTCATTGGCTGTGAGGGAAGCCGGGAGAACTGGGGGAGGAGTTTGCTGAGCTCCTTTCCCACCCCAGTTCCTCTGCTGATGGAGATTCCTGGGCTGAGTAGCTGGCAGGGACGGAACAGACGAGGAGGGGTTGGGGGGCAAGTGTTCCAAGAGGAGGGAGCTGCTGTGTGTTCCTCCTGGACCCGCTGGGGCTCCCGGGCTGGTCATCTTCACACACCCTCACCTGACTCCCAGCTCCTCGACCTCTGACCACACCCCGGGAGAGAGGGCCTGGGGCTCCTCCGACCTCTGGGCAGGGGCATGACTGGAGGGCGGGGAGGGAAGGCCCAGTGAAGGGCATCGGTGCGCGGGGCAGTGTCCTGCTCCCCATTCTGTGTGGTCAGCACACACCCAGAAGGGTAGCATGGCGGTTCCTCTGGAACCCGCAGGTGAGTGCAGGTCTCAGCTCTGCCACTTGCTTGGTGATCCGACCGTTAGCTTCAGTTTTCTCACCTGAAAAGTGGGAATGATAATAGAACCCATCTCAGGGCAGCTCTGAGAATTAAGTCATATCTAGAGCGTTGCCTGGGGTGCAGGAAAGGTATAGCTGTTACCATTTTGGGGTATGACTCAGTAGAGGGGGGAAGTACCCTCCACTCCTTCCTGCCTAGCCTCGGTGCCCCCCATCGATGGCCCAGAATGCCAGGTCCAGAGGCCAAAGCCAGAGTCTCCCGCTGGTGGAGTAGGATAGCTGGCTCTCGGGGACTCAGGGGAGATGCCCTGTGGGGCACCCCAGTTGTGGGCAGGCCCCTGTCCGGGTTTGGTGACACTTCCCACTTGCCTTTCAGGATCTCCTATTGCACAGCAGACAAGATGCACGACAAAGTGTTTGCCTACATTGCACAGAGCCAGCACAACGAGAATCTCGAGTGCCATGCCTTCCTCTGCACCAAGCGGAAACTGGTCAGTGGGGAGAGGCTGGGGCCCAGGCAGGCTCTGGCCTTGGCAGCCCTGCCCCTGGGGGGAGGCAGGACCCAGAGGTGACATCACTTAATATGAAGTATGAAATTCCTGGGAACCCCACGTGGATGCTGAGAGCACTGAGTAAGCCTGGTCTGTGGGCGGTGACAAGCCCATGTCACCAGTCAGTGCCCTGGTCCCTTCCTCTCTAACATGCTTGATTGGATTTGAATGGCGGGGGGGGGGGGCGCTCTCCTGTCAGTAGGACAGTCTGAGGGTTCAGGGCCTTGTAGGAATTAGTCCTTGGAGACTGGTGATCAGAGGGCCCAGGTGAAAGGCAAGGGGACCTGGCTCGCTGTAGCCAGAGTGGGGAGGGAAATGGCCATTTTTTGGCACCTCCCATGCGCCTCTTTCAGTGGTGGACTTTAGTCCTCATAGCTCTGTGAGGCGGCAGCTGCTCCTGGCTTCGCTGTTTTTATTTTCAGTGAGGAAGCAGATTCACAGAGGTCAGCTGTCTTGCTGAAGATGACCCAGCCAGCTGGGCAGAGCGAGGGTTTAAACCCATGTTTCTTCACCTCACCGCATGGCCGCGAGGAGCCCCGAGCTCCTTGCCCCATTTCCAGGCTACCCCCCTCGCCCCATCCAGCTGAGACGAGGGGGGGACCTCTGTGGTCTCTGGGCTTTGTCTTGAACTTTGGGACAAGCAGGCAGAGTGAGTCCACCTTTGGTGTTGATGCTTTCGTTTCGGAGGCCCAGAGATCTGAACATCTGCTCTGTGAGGAGATTTCTGACGTTTATTGGTTTAGTGTTGGCCTCTGTTAACCTCCGTACGGAGCCCAGAGCCCTCCTCCCCATACCCTGTGGTCCTTGGAACCAAGGAGACAAGATCCTCTCCCCTGCTCCTCTCCTCCCGGACACATCAAGGACAGCACCGTCTTTAAGTGGCCCCCAGGCTTCCTGCCACCCATCAGGGCCTGCTCGAGACACGGTATTAGTTTCCAGTAGCTGCTGTAAGAAGTTACCAGAAACTTAGTGGTTTAAAACAACCCAGATATATTCTCTTACGGTTCTGGAGGTCAGAAGTCTAAAGTGGGTCAGTAGAGTTGTCATCCTTTTGGAGGTTCCAGGGGAGAATACGTTTCCTTGCCCTTTTTAAACTTTCTAGAGACCACCACTCCCTGGTTCCTGGCCCCTTCTTCAACCCGAGGGCCAGCAGTGCAGCCCCTCCCAGTCTTCCTCCTGCTTCCGTTGTCCCAGTCCATTGTCACTGGCTCTGACCCTCCTGCCTCCCTCTTAGAAGGCCCGTGGTGATTGGGCCCCCTGGGTAATCCAGGATAACCCCCCATCTCAAAATCCTTAACTTAATCACATCTGTGAAGTCCCCTGTGCCGTTCCAGCTAACCCTCACAGGTTCCAGGGATTAGGATGTGGATATCTTTGGGGGCCACGGGTCAGCCTCCCACAGGTCTTTTGGAGGGAGCACTGCAAGACGAGACAGATTAGGGGTCTGGTCCTGGCTGCTGTGCTCTGTGACTGTGGATAAGACCCTGCCCTTCTCTGGGCTGCTTGCCCATCAGCAGAATGAAGGTCACCTCAGTGACCTCCAGGATTGCTCTGAAAGGCCCCTTTCTTTTGTGGACCTTGTTTCTTTCCTGCAGACTCAGTGTCGCCAGCCACTCACCCAGGCCTCGTGATGCCCCGGGTCCCCGGGTGCAGTGGCTTCTCCCATGACGGCTTTGTTCTCACAGACAGTGACTCTTGGCTTTGTCTCTTATGAGGCCACAGAGACTTAAAAATACAGGCCCATTATGTCCCCATTGTTCGTCTCTTCCTCCCACTGACCAGAGCAGACACTGGGCAGGGGCAGCTGTGGCCCATAGCCCCTTCTGCGGGGTGCGGACCCTGGGCAGGAGGGGCGCTGCGCTCCAGAGGCTTCCTCTGGGAAGGGGAGCTAGGGGGTAAGAGAAAGCGGGTGCTCGCCCAGTGGCTGAAGGGAGGCCTGGTCTGGGGCCAGTGGACTTTGGACAGGCTTGAACAAAATCAGCCTGGCCCAGGCTGAGAGGTCAGTTATTGAGGCAAACAGCCTGCGCGCCGCTTGGCGCTGGCAGCTGAACCCTGGTCCGGCAGGGGCACGGCTACGGCTGGGCACCCGGGCCCAGGCTCTTCACTTTCCCTCACACACTTTGCTCTGTGTCGGGAGCTGACTGGCTCGATTAGGGCTTATCCACCCTTTCTTAGCTGGCTTTTCCCCTTCAGACAGCCCAGGGCAGGACGTGCTAAATAGGCCACCCAGTGTGAGAGTGGTATTCTCGTGCCTCCACTAGGCTTCCGCTGAGCCCAAGTTGGCAGTCGGAGATCCTGGCCATGTTGGAAATCCTGAGATTCTCAGGGCTTAGTGGACATTTCTGAGAAGGAGGCAGAAAGTGAGATGGGGGCCTCAGGTTCTGCAACCCCCCAGCGGCCAGGTGCTCCACAGATGTTCACTGCTGCCTGTCCCAGGCTAAGCCCTGTGTTGGGCACCGGGGACCCAGGGAATCGGCCGTGGAGATACCAACAAGATGGTGGGGGAGGAGGGCCAGGATTTGGTAACTGGAACCCAGTGGGCTCAGTTCTAGGGTGGAGGTCAGTAAGTCTTCCCAGAGAAGGAGACATTTTGAATCAAGCTTTGAGGGCTGAGTAATAAGTGAGAGTTTGCCGGCCGAGAGAAGGGGTGAGGCGGTAAAGAGCGCAGGAACCCCAGCGTAGGAGTCAGCACGCACAAAGACAAAGGTGCAGAATTAAATAGTGTGATTGGTGGTTGAGGACTCAGACGTGACTGGAGCTGGGCTGCGTGGCAAAGTAGAGTCAGCCTGCATGCTGACCCAGCCCCCTAGCCTTTGGCTGGGGGCCCACAGTCTCCACACATCCCCACCCTTTCTCTGGGCGAGAAGTCGGTGACCACCCAGGGTGGGGGTGAAGGGGTTCCTTTCTGGGTTGCCCACCCATTCAGCTCAGCTCGGGTTCCTTTCTGGGTTGCCCACCCGTTCAGCTCAGCTCGGGCAGCACAGCCACCAGGCCTCCCTCCCCTGGTGACTCCTGCTGGGCATGGCCAGGATGAGTTCCTCCAGAAAGAAATGCTTCTGTCTGCCCAACTGGGAGGCCTCCACCAGCACTGCAGCCTCAGGGTTCTGAAGTGAAGGTGGGGTTGCCGGCTTTGATGGGGGGCCCAGGGTTGCAGTGCAGGTGGACTGACAGGAAACAAAGTGACCTCCCTGATTCTACCCCGGGCACACTGGGGCAGGGCTGTTATCCCGTACATGGCCATCGGCATTCCTCAGGTAATCCTTCTGTGCAGGATTTATGCTTCCGGGGCAGCAGGGCCATAAGGGACCCGTGGCCGGACTTGGTCTGTGTACTAGGCTGGGAGGTCCTGAGCTAGACCTGGCCCCTTGAAGGAACTCACAGCCTGGTTACTGGGAACAAGCCAGAGACATGAAAAACTGGGTGAGGTAGAACCCAGGTCAGGTGCTGAGAGACTCACAGGCCAGAGGCACTCCTGGGAGGGATAAGCATTTAGCCTGCGGGATCAGGGAAGGAAGACCTCCCCGTGGGCAGGCTCGAGCAGTCCTTTCTTGTAATGCTGCCCAGATTCCTGCACCCGCCCCACCCCCAGTCCCTGCCCAGCCTGGGCTTGTAGCCACCTGCGCACATGTGCATCTTGGGTTATATTTGGTTTACTTGCAACTCGGGATTTCGGGGCGAAAGGGCAGAAATGTATGCAAGTGAACAAGTAGATTTATGCAAAAACAGTATCAGGTTCATGCCCCAGATATCCTGGAGGCAAAAATAATGGTGCTTCCATCTCCCTGCCACATTAGGTGACCAACCCTGTCTTGGGTGTATAGTGAGCTGACTCCGGCTGGTAATCAGCCCATATTTTTAGTTCATGGGCAATTCTCAATGGTAACTGGGTCTATTAAACTTGATTCGGACGTGACAGCTTAAATTGTAAACAGCTGTGAAGAGTTTCATACTTAATTACCATATTTAAGTTTTGCTATAAAGCACCCATACTTGCATCAAAAATGTAAATGACGGAGAGATTCAAATGAGATTTTATACTTCATGAAGTTTAATTGGCATGGATCAGTCAGCTTGTTTAAGGATTTTAAATTTTAGAAAAAAGAGTTTTAAAGGCAATAGCCACAGATTCATTTCTCAATTAAATCAAGTCGTCTGGTGGAGGGAAAGGGCATGGGTCTGAGGCTGGTTAGGCCTGAACTTACTGTGCACTTGGAAGAATCTGGTGCTTTCTTCCCTACGCCCGGGCTGTCAGAAGGAAGCTGGATGTCGCTTCCGGCTACAGCTGAGCTCTGAGACTCCCACAGCCCAGCAGCTGAGCTGTGATTAACCCTGAACTGGAAGCAGAGAGAGGAAGAGGCTGCGATGAATGTGGGCTGGGGGTAGGTCCTGGCTGAGGGAGGCCTCAGGAGGCTGGCCCCTTAGGCGGATGCAGCGTTGCACCTCTGGAGGGCGTGGCCTGCTCTGGGGGGTCAGGGTGTTTAGACTAGGTTCTTGCCTTTAGGGAGCACCCAGATGGGGCGTCACAGGCATGTGAGCTGGTGACACTTTGATAGGCATGATGCCAGAGAGAGGTAGGTGGGCCTGTGGGGCCCCAGTGCAGGTGACCTGAGAGAGCTGGTGACATCTGAGATGGGTGTGAAGGGGTGCATGGGAGTTCCTCAGGGGTGAAGGGCCAAGGGGTGGCCCCCTCTTCCCAGTGAGTTATGGCACTGAATGGTTTTGGTCCCCTGCCATGGGCACGCATTGACATTGTGGATCCAGTTAGAAGTCCCTCCGAGCCGGCATAGGGCTAACCAGGTCGAACCTTTGCCTCTGGCTGTTGGTCATTCAGGCAGTGGCCAGGCCCTTTCCAGTTCTGGCTTTTCTGCTCTCTCATTCCAAGGGCTAAGTTATTGTGTGAAGTCCTCGGGTAATTAGAGGAGGGCTTCTTGGAAGGAGCCAGCCCCTAGTTATTTGAATATAGAGAAGCCCAAAGGAGAGGGGAAAAAGTGGAGGCAAACAGCCATTGCAAACGTCGGGGCTGGAACAGAGGCAGGAACCTTGGCTGGGCTGCTGGTGCTGAGGATGCGGCCCCATCTGCCTGGAGAGGGCGTGGCCTTGTTACACCACAGGGCTGCTTGGCGACCAGGGAGGGGCCAGGACTCTGCCTTCACCCACCTGCCAGTTCGGAGCCTTGGTGGAGCGGAGCCTTGGTGGAGCGGAGCCTCGGGCCCGCATTTCAGACTTGCTGTTACCTGCCTGACAGGGCCCCCCCCCCCCGTTTCCTGTTTTTCAGGCGCAGGCTGTCACCCTCACAGTAGCCCAGGCCTTCAAAGTCGCTTTTGAGTTTTGGCAGGTGTCCAAGGAAGGTGAGTCTTGTTCAGGGACACTGTGGGGGGCGGGGGTGGAACGGGGGAAGGCTGGCAGAGAGAAAGGAGTGGGGAGCGGGTGGTAAAGGCCCTGGAGTCCAGGCCCAGCTCTCCTCTTCCTCGCCTACCTGGTGTGTGGTGTGTGACTTTGGAGAGCTCCCTTCACCTCCCTGAGTCCCACTGTCCCCCTGCGAAGAAATGGGAACAGCTGTCTCCCTCCCCCAGGGTGCTTGTGAGGGTCAAATCTGCAGTTTCCTTCCTCCCTGCTGGAGACCTAATGCCTGCCCCCCCGACATTGGCTGCAGGCTGCCCCTGTCCAGCGATTGCTGGGGGCGGGGGCTGCAACGCTCTGTGCCTTGGTCCCACAGAGAAGGAGAAGAGGGACAAAGCCAGCCAAGAGGGAGGGGACGTCCTGGGCGGGGGCCTCCGAGACAGCACCCCGTCGTTGAAGAGCCGTGAGTCTTGGGCAGGGGGTGGGGCCAGAATCAGCTACATGATCCGGGTCTTCCCTTTATCCAGAGGGCCCTACTCACTCCCTCCTGGGCTGGGGCAAACCCTTGGTTTTTTATTTTTGTTTTATTGTTAAATAAATAATACATGCTCATCATAGATAAATTAGAAAATGTAGATAAAGGGAAAGACTGCTCGTTTTGGTGCATGTTCTTCCAAATGTGTGTCTATGCAACTATATAAATATATGTATACATCTCTTTCTGTACATCTAACATCTTATTTATGTGATCTCTTAAAAAACTTAACACCTGTTGTGAACGTAAAAATTTCAGCCTAAAACATTAGTTGGGGTGAGATTCTCGCCCTGTGGGCAGCCGTCCAGCTGCTTTGGGAGGTGCTCGGGTGGGGCTCGGGTGGGGCTCTGGGTAGTCTGGTTGATAGGCCTGGGAAGGCCATATCTGAGAACAGAGTCAGGACCAGGATAGCTTGGGAGTCTCCGGGACAGGGCTGGGAGATGAGGCCTGGAACCAGGAGGCTCCTCCCACTGACACACCTGACCGGACCCCTCATAGTGGTTGCCACTGGGAACCTGCTGGACTTGGAAGAGACGGCCAAGGCCCCGCTGTCCACAGTCAGCGCTAATACCACTAACATGGACGAGGCACCGAGGCCTCAAGCCTTGAACAATAGCAGTGTTGTGTGGGTGAGTGGTCATGTGGCCTGGGGACCCCACAGGGATCCAGCAAGCCTCCGCCTGATCCCTGGTTGAGGCCTAAGGCTTCTTTAGGGCCCAGGCCTTGGCACCCATGACTTCAGTCCTTTGGGAGGGCCAGACTCAGCCCAGCAGCACCCAGGCCCAGGGTGGGGGGCAAACAATGTCCCTTTGAACTCGGGGCTGCCTCCCCAGCAGGCTTGGCTCCCAGCACAGCTGTCTCCTCACAATGCACAGCCTCTTGGTCTGAGCGCCCATGGCTGGGCCCACCACAGGACCAGGCAAAGGCTCCCTTGTTCTTGGCGTGGGCACAGTTTGCTCCCAACACCCCTCCCTGCTCCGCCATCTGAAGGAGGAGGCTGAGGCCTGGCGGTCAGCGGTTGGGCCCTGACTTGCTCTGTGACTCGAGGCAAGCCCCCGACCTCTCTGTGTCTCAGCTTTTTCATCCCCTCAATAAAGATGATGACCTCTGCCTGCAGAATCTCCCAGAGGAAACTGGGTTTTTTTAATTAAAAATTTAAAAATTTTTTCACTTGAAAATAATTTCAGACTTACAAAAACATTATAAAACAGTACAAAGCATTCCTGTTCACCTCTCATCCAAATTCTCCACATATCAGCGTCTCACACAAGCACGTTACAGTGATGGAAATCATTACCATCAATCCGACGCTGTTAGATCATCACAGGCCGTAGTCACGTTTCCCCATGTGTCCACTGCACGTCCCTTTTCTGCTCTCAGATCACTTGCAGAATCACACGTTTCTAATTGTAAAATATCTGGAATGGTGACGGACTTGGGAAACTCAAATCCCGTTCGATATGGCCCCCTCGAGTAGGCATCAGGAGCCCGTTCTCTGCTGCTTGGGAACCACCCTTAGCACCCACCTGTCTGCTCAGGGAGGCTGCAGGGAGCCCCGCCCATTGTTTTCCCACCTAAGCTGTGGGGTTCCTGTCATCGGTTACCCCTCAGGAGCTTAGAAGTGGATGAAAGCAAGAAAACCTTCTTCCCTACCCTCTTTGTTCTTGGAACTTAAAAGCCATCTACCAAGCTGAGTCCCAGAGAGGAGCAGCTACTTGCCCAAGGTGTCCCTTGAGTGGTGGCTGAGCTGGGAATTCTACCCACCCAGATCCTCTTTCTCCTGTTCCACACCCCAGGTTTGGGCCCGTGGGTTGAGATGTGTGTACCTGTTCCCCAGGCACTCACCAGACTCCTACGCTTGTGTCCCGAGTCCCCATAGCTTACCCAGGGCTGGGCTAGCTCCTGGCTGTGAGCACGGGCTCCCCCACTGAGGGTTCGTATCTCCTGCTTTGTTTTCCCCAAGGAGCTGGATGACGGCCTGGATGAAGCATTTTCAAGGTAACATTAGCTGGGCTCCTTGTGCTGGGGAAGAGGGCCTGGCATTTGTGGGCTGGTCTCTGGGGTCCTTTGCCATATCTGAGAACATGAACTCTGACCTTTTCCAGAGCAAAAAAATGTCAACTTGAATGCCTCCTGGGATGGGGAACTCACTATCTGGGGTTGGCCAGGTCTGCTAAAAGGCTCTTGCTGTTGAATCAAAAACTTCCTAGTGGCTTCTCTACCACAATCTGAGATGAACTAAACACTCTGCAGCTCGGGTTGATTCCCTCTTCCTACACCTGGTGGAGCCTTCCAAACCTGGCTTTTTGCAGGCTTTGTTCCCTCCAGAGGCTTTGCAGTTGTGGAAAGGGGTAGGGAGGAGGTAATGCTTAATGAAACCTATGGAGCGATACGTAGAGGAGGAATGTCAGGCACAGCAAGGAGATACTTTGGTCTTGTCTGAGGGTGGTGGCCTTCCCCATCTTCCCAGGGGCCAGCCCTGTAGCCATGGCTACCTTCAGCTTGGGGACATGGCCCCGAGAAGGCTGGGCTGGAGAGAGCCCTGGGCAGCCCAGGGTTCTGAGCACTGGGCCTGGTCAGTCAGGTGCCCCTGTCTCCCTGGGGACCCTGGGCAGCCCCCTGCAGCCCTCTCCTTCCTCCCCAACCCCTCCCTGCCAGAACCTGCTAGAAACCCCTGAGCCTAGCCTGGGGAGGTGGGGGTTCAGCATGGATGGCCCTTTCAGGGAGGCAGAGACATTCTTTTTACTGTCTTCCTGCTGACTGCAACCCCCTCATTTTAAGAAAATCTTTCATTTGCTTTTTCCAGATTACTTAAGTATCCTATGCTCTTTATTAACAACTTTGAAAATCAGCAAAGCATTAAACAGGAAATAACACCATCCTGTAATCCCACAGCCCAGACTTTTGGGCTTAATTCATGCTCATCCTATACATACACATTTTTTTTTCTTTTTGCCTTGATCACTCAAGATGGTATTTGCATTTGGGGATCCTGATTTTCACTGAACACTGACCTATCAGGAGCATTCCCCCAGCCTGTTAAAAACTCCTTGTAAACACCTCATTTATTGACAGCCTCACCTTCTTCTAAGGACCTGGGCTGTAATTTACTTACCTCTCCCCTAGTTTTGGATGCTTAGGTTATCTTCCTTCCTGTAACAGTTCTGGTCGGTGGTCCGCTCCTGGTTGCACCGCCCCCACTGCGCGTGTGCCCCTCACTGCCCGCACGAGCGCTGCCCTTCCCCCTCTTTCTGGGTGGAGTCGGGGTAGGGGTGGCTCCCCTGGCCCCTCTCCCCACGGCGGGAATGCCCCTGCCTGCCCCACAGTTTTCTGAGCCGTTTGGTCCTCAAGAGTAGACTCCGGTCAGAGGCGCCACCCGTCCTGATATCCAGGACTGTCTTCTCTGGCCCCTGAGTCCTGGCCTTCTCCCACCTGTGCCCTCTCACTTCCGCCCCTTCGGGGGCCCCGGGCTCACAGAGCTCTGCTTTCCAGGCTTGCGCAGTCTCGGACAAACCCTCAGGTCCTGGACACTGGATTGACAGCACAGGACATCCATTATGCCCAGTGCCACTCACCTGTCGACTGGGACAAGCCTGACGGCAGCGGCGCCGAGCAGGACGATCTCTTCAGCTTCTGAGCGCCCTGGAGCTGGTGGGACACGTGACAGACCAAAGCCTCTGGTGGCGGTGTAGGGCCAGCGCCAGGACCCCCAGCCACCCTCTGCTGGGTGGCGGCCTGCGAATCCCAGCTGCATCCAGTCAGGCGGGGGGGGAAGGAGAAAGTTCTCTTTTAGCCCCGCTCTTTCTGTAAGAACTGAAGGATGCCTTGAATATTTATTCAGTGACTCCTGGTTCAGCTCGGAAGCCGAATTTGCGTCAGGCACGAGCGCGTGTTTTAACCAGCTTTCTGCCCTCTCTTGAGCAAGCTCTGCTCTGCTGCGGGTGTTGGTGACCAAAGCATTCTTGTCCCTTCTCTCTTTCTAAGGACCCAGATTTCCCTGGCGGTGCCCCCACTCCTTACTGAGCACAGGAGGGCCCCGCAGCCTCCGCAGAACGCTGCGTCCTCAAGTGTGCCTTCGGCCGGGGCCCCGCTAAGCTTGCACCCCCCACCCCGGGGGCTCCCCGCGGAGGGGCAGCCCCTGACCAAAGACAACGTGTAGCTGGCACTTTAAAGCGCACACGGCAGGTGTGGCCCCCAGGGGCTCCTCGAAGGTGCTGCATTGCATAGAGCTTTCTGTCTGCCCTTCCACGAGGTGGTTCCCATCGGGGCTCAGAACCAGTGTACCTGGCTGCCCATGGGTCCCCAGGGTCTGACTGCAACAGTGGGGATCATCTGTGACTGCCCTCCGTCGGGGCCCCCCAACCCACTCTTCTCCTCGAGTTGGACGGGCACGTGCCCGCTCTTCCTGTCTCGTCCGCGTGGGTGTCTCTGAGCCCCGATTCCCCACGCCTCCGGGGACAGCGTGTAGTGCCGAACACCGAGCCTTGGTCAGGACTCTTTTGTGGCCTCCACACACAGGCCCCGAGTGTGGAAAGGGTGAGGGCAGAGGAGAACCAGATCTGATGCCAAAGTTGCCTCTCCCAGCTCACACCTCCCTTCTTTCTGGCGTCGTTGTCCTCCCAGGAACCAAAAACCCCAGCTCTTTTCTGACCAAAATGTGTTTCATAACAAACCATCTGGTGCCTTTCCACAGACAACTGGCTTGAGCTTCCGCGCCCTGCTCGCTGGCTGGCTGCCGATTTGCGTGGAATGAAAGTGTCGATGCTAATTTGGAGGGTGAAACCAAACTAGACGCTGGAGCATCACACTCTTCTTTCCCGACCCTCGCCCCTGGGTCGGCGCATGGCAGCGGCGTCTGTCCTCTGTCTCCCGTCCTCCTCCCGCTCCCCCCCCAACCCTGGGGCTCCCAGCAAAGCTGCCAGTGCCCTCTCCCCCTGGGGGTGCCTCCCAGGCCTGGCTTCACTGAGCTCAAGGCACTGATGGTAGCAGGTTTCACCAGCCCAGGAGAAACACACACCATTTCTCAGAATCTGCTTCTCTAAGCACTTGAATCGGAGCACAGAGAAGTGCCTGGCCGAGGGGTGGGGTGACATTTGTAGAGTGTCTATCAGAATACGGGAATCCGTTCCTTTCCCTGCCCAGCGCCTGCACCTTGCTTGCCCACCCCAGACCTTGGTACTGGCCCCTGGATTTATTACGAGGCAGCAAGTTTAGGTCCCGACACCGGCTGTCCCTGGCATGAGGGTCCCGAAACCCCGAGAGGCCGTGCTGTGTGTGTGTGTGTGTGTGTGTGTGTGTGTGTGTGTGTGTGTGTGTGAGAGAGAGAGAGAACCGGACTTGGCCTTTGTGTGGGTCCCTGGCTGACAAGCTGTCTGTGCTCCCGTGTGTCTGCAGATGAGTCTTGTGCTTTGCTTTGTGTTGCTGTAAAAGACATTCTAATGAGGAAAAGACTAAGTAATAAAGGTTCTTTTTTTGAAAGACAAAGAGCACTTGGAGGGAGTGGCCTGTGGCCGGGTGGGAGCGCTCCTGCCTTTAGGGACTGCAATGGTAGTGACCACAGGCCGAGGCATGGCAGGGGTAATGGTCTGTGCTCCCCTGGTAGAAGCCCAGCGGGGCCCCTTCGCACCCAGCAGATGTGGGTGTGCGGCGAGGTCATCCCTGGAGAGCTCGGGGCTGCACCAGCGATCCAGGGCAGCGGAAACCTAGGGTGGGGCCTCCCGGCCAGGGGTCTATGAACCCATGGAACGTGCATATGATCATGTGTGGGTCCACGTGTGCGTTTTTCTTGGGGAGGATGGCCATCATTTCCGTCACATTCTTACGTGGGTCCTTGATATGCATTCATTTAGCAAACTCTGTGCTGAACACAACCCGGGCCTGGGGGTCAAGTGCTGGGGCTGGCAGTTCTGGACTCCAGATTGCGGCTTTGATGTGAGTGGGGACCGGGGTGGGAGACAGTGGAAAGTGTTTTAGTGACGTGCGAGACCCAAGGTCTCACTCAGGCTGTGACACTGGATCGGTCACTTCTTTCCTTAAGCTTCGGTTTCCCCACTTGGGAAAAGGCTGCAGCAAGCTCCACCCCTGCCAGCTCCCTGGTTTCTGTGACTCGGGTAACCATGATGTCGGTGGTGGTGGCTACTGAGAAGGCTCAAAGTTTATCTCAGAGCAAAAGGCATTTGGACCCAATACATTTGAGGAAGTCAAAGTACAACGGACAATAGAGGCAGCTGCGGGTCACAGCTCTTCCTGTGTGCCTGGGGCCGTGCTGACCTTGATCTCCTCCGAGCCCAGTGCTTTTAGCTGCCCTTACTGCTGCAGCACCCAGGCTAGGGCGGAAGGCGGTCGTGCGCCCAGGCCAGACGCAGATCTGTGTGACCCTTGACCCCACCACGTCCTGACCTCCCCGGAGCCACACCTGTAGTCATGCTGCCCGTGGCCTCCTGTGAGCCCCACGGTGCCGGCCACAGAAAGGCCCTCTCTTCGGGCTCCAGTGGGGGTCTCCTCCAACACGTATCTCTCTGTCCCTTTCAAACAGTGATATTTAAAATGTCCGGAACCCAGAGGCGGGGCCCTCTGATGTCAGGCCGACTCACTGTGAATTCTGAGTGGATCATAGATGACTAAGAAATTCTCTCCTTTCTTCTCCCATAATCTGAAAAGACACGCAGCAAGTTCATCTTTCGGTTTAAATTTGACCAATGTCTTTAGTCTCCGGATGTCTCAAATTACGAATCCTGAGCACCTGCCGTCTGCTCTTTCATGCATAACGGATGAAGCCAGGAAGAACAAAGTCGCCTTTCAGATTTGATGGGACCTTCAGCTTCACCGGGTGGATGTCGAGGTCTTCTCTCCCAGGAGGAGATGCCATCCCAGTTAAATCTCTCCAAGGACTTCTCAACAAGCCCAGATGGGGAATTGGGGTAGATTCTGTGCCCTTGGCTCTGGCCGGCCTTCCTCCTGCCACCCCGTGTGTACAGATCACAACAGGTGGCCTGCTTCCCTGTTAGGACGGGAGCCTTTCTCCAGTGCTTTATACATGCCAGGCCCCGTTAGGTCCTTTACACCAACATCGGTGATACTAATTCTAACAACTGTGCTATGAGGTGGGTGGTCCTAGTCCCATTTTCAAGATGGGACAACGGAGGCTCAGGGAGGATACGTGAATTGACCAAAGTCTCACAGCCAGTAAGGAGTCTGTCCGACTCTAGTGCTTATTTCCACAGCACTACCCACCCCGTGGAGTGAAGGGCAAAGCCGAGCCGAGCGGCCCATGCCCAGAAATGGGCAGCCTCTCCCATGTGGCAGATGGGAGCTGCGGGCCAATGGGTGTCTCCATGGGCAGAGTAGCGGGCCTGGGCCAGGCTAGGCGCCCAAAGCAGGGGCCGTCTTCCAGACGGGTCCAAACACATCCTTCCTGCTCTCCCTAGGTAGCTGCCCTTCGGGGCTGTTGCTCTGGACATGCCCGGTTTAGGACTTGGCATCTGCACTGTGTATTGCCCCCGGTAGGCATTGCCCAGCCTGGGGCGGGCAGGGAAGGTGGCTGGCCAGAGCTCCCCTCGGAGGGGGAAGGTGTCCTCTGGGGGCAGACTCAGTGTGTGGCTGGTGGTGAACGGCAGCCTCAGAGGCGCCGGGGAGGGGAACACCTTTCCAGAACACCGGCTGCATCTGCACACATGAGCTAGTCGAAGCTGCTGTGCAGGGACTGTGCTAGCAAGCTTTATAAGCCCATTTTAAAGACAATGAAACTGAGGCTCACAGAGCTTATGTGACCTGCCAGCCTTCCACAGATGGTAAGAGGCAGGTTACTGTCCCAGTGTGGCTCTGCCTCTCTCTGTGGGTCACTGGGAACATTTGGACAACACCCTGCTTGCTTATCAGGAGCTTCTGAGCTGAGCTCCCACCACACAGGTGCTGGATCAGGTTGGTGCCTTTGCTTCCAGCCAGGACAGATGTGAGCTGTGTCACAAGTCCTGGTTGCCAAGCAACAGTTCTGACTGCACCTGCTGAGCCCCCGCATGGGGTGGGGCTTCCAGGGCCTGCCCTGATCTCTTCGCAGTCCAGCGACTGTGGGTCACGGTGCCCTGGAGAGCTGGGCATGATGTAGGTTTGCCTCCCACCACGGGGACGTGGGAAGTCAGAGCTGAGGAAGCCCGCAAGGGCTTCTGGAAGAGGGGAGTGTTCCTACTGGGCCTTGAAGGAGCGTACAAAGGTTGGAGATTGCCTTGGTTACCCCGAGCTCTGTGCAGCCAGGGCCTGTGTTTGAGACACCTGTGGCCCCAGTGCCCAGCATAGCACCTGGCAGCGAGTGGCCGTCAGTGACCAAAAGGGGGATGGCCAGCTGGCTTCCTGTGAGAACCCGCTGAGAGAGGGGGCGAGGCCAGCCTCTGTGGCACCATGGTCCACTTCGCAGGCAGTCTGTCCGGAGGTAGACCCATCCTACGGCAAGCTCCCCCAGTTCCGCTGGGCCAGGTGCTCTAGGTCTCCGTCATGCACGGCCCCGCCTGGTTTGGTAAAACGTGTGGTCTCCTCCTCCGCCCTGACCAAGGATCTTGGTTTTCAAAGTGTCTTTAAAGCAGGATTCTAGATTGTCAGTGCCAGAAGAGCCCTTAATGGTCCTCCCGGCCACCCCCTTTGTTTATACCTGGGACACTGAGGCCCACAGAGGGACAGGACTCCCCTCCCACCCCCACCCCAGGTTGTGTGGGCAGTTAGTTATGCAGAGCTGCAGTTCTGGCCATAGATTTTTCCGCAGCCCATGCTCAGTCCTCCACCCCAGAGGGAGAAGTCCCTTCCCCACACTTGTGCTCGAGGTCCGAGGGCTTGTGGGGAATTGGAAAGGATTATAAGAAG